ACAGCCTTGAAAAACTATTCTTTAAAAAATCCACGCCTTAGGACAGCCTTGAAAAACTATTCTTTAAAAAATCCACGCCTTAGGACAGCCTTGAAAAACTATTCTTTAAAAAATCCACGCCTTAGGACAGCCTTGAAAAACTATTCTTTAAAAAATCCACGCCTTAGGACAGCCTTGAAAAACTATTCTTTAAAAAATCCACGCCTTAGGACAGCCTTGAAAAACTATTCTTTAAAAAATCCACGCCTTAGGACAGCCTTGAAAAACTATTCTTTAAAAAATCCACGCCTTAGGACAGCCTTGAAAAACTATTCTTTAAAAAATCCACGCCTTAGGACAGCCTTGAAAAACTATTCTTTAAAAAATCCACGCCTTAGGACAGCCTTGAAAAACTATTCTTTAAAAAATCCACGCCTTAGGACAGCCTTGAAAAACTATTCTTTAAAAAATCCACGCCTTAGGACAGCCTTGAAAAACTATTCTTTAAAAAATCCACGCCTTAGGACAGCCTTGAAAAACTATTCTTTAAAAAATCCACGCCTTAGGACAGCCTTGAAAAACTATTCTTTAAAAAATCCACGCCTTAGGACAGCCTTGAAAAACTATTCTTTAAAAAATCCACGCCTTAGGACAGCCTTGAAAAACTATTCTTTAAAAAATCCACGCCTTAGGACAGCCTTGAAAAACTATTCTTTAAAAAATCCACGCCTTAGGACAGCCTTGAAAAACTATTCTTTAAAAAATCCACGCCTTAGGACAGCCTTGAAAAACTATTCTTTAAAAAATCCACGCCTTAGGACAGCCTTGAAAAACTATTCTTTAAAAAATCCACGCCTTAGGACAGCCTTGAAAAACTATTCTTTAAAAAATCCACGCCTTAGGACAGCCTTGAAAAACTATTCTTTAAAAAAATCCACGCCTTAGGACAGCCTTGAAAAACTATTCTTTAAAAAATCCACGCCTTAGGACAGCCTTGAAAAAATATTCTTTAAAAAATCCACGCCTTATGACAGCCTTGAAAAACTATTCTTTACAAAATCCACGCCTTATTCTTTAAAAAATCATTGCCTTAGAACAGCCTTGATAAAATATTCTTTAAACCAGTAAGGAAAGTAGTAAAGTCGGACGGGGCCGACTATATGATACCCTTCACCACTATGGGTATAGTAAACAGGACTATAACATAAAATTGGATGAAAAAAATGTGATATTTATCTAAATGTGAATCTACCTAGATCTATCCATAAAGTATGTCAATCGACTTCAAACAAATAGGTCATCTGTTGGGCTATGTCTGCACTTCTAGAAAACGCCACTACGTAATTCTATGCTCAATTTTGTAAGTTGTGCAAAATTTGATGTCAATCTGACTAACATGAGGAGTTTGATGCCCAATTTACTTGAAATCGGGCGAAAATATATATGGAAGCTCTATTCAAATATTGAGCGATTTCAAACAAACTTGTCACAGGTTAGGTTACACTAATTTCAGAACGTTTTGTTCCTTAGTACGTCAATTACTTAAAATCGATCTATAATAAAAGGGAGCTATATCTAAATCTGGACCGATTTTCACGAAACTTGGCAGACATCATTCTAGGCTCAATTAAGTACGTAATGCCAAATTTCGTGCAAATCGAAGCATATATAGGGACTTTGGTGCACCATTTACATGAAATCGGACGAAACTATATATGGGAGCTATATCTAAATCTTGACCTATTTTCACGAAACTTGGCAGACATCATTCTAGACTCAATTCAGTACGTTATGCCAAAATTCGTGCAAATCGAAAGATATTTAGCGACTTAGGTGGACCATTTACATCAAATCGGACGAAACTATATATGGGAGCTATATCTAAATCCGGACCGATTTTCTCCAAACTTGGCAGACATCACTCTAGGCTTAATTCAGTACGTTATGCCAAATTTCGTGCAAATCAAAAGATATATAGGGACTTTGGGCACCATTTACATGAAATCGGATGACACTATATATGGGAGCTATATCTAAATCTGGACCGATTTTCACGAAACTTGGCAGACATCATTCTAGACCTAAATGATTAGGCTGTACCAAATTTCGTGCAAATCGAAAGATATATAGGGACTTTGGGGGCACCATTTACATGAAATCGGACGAAACTATATATGGGAGCTATATCTAAATCTGGACCGATTTTCTCCAAACTTGGCATACATCACTCTAGGCTTAATTCAGCACGTTATGCCAAATTTCGTGCAAATCAAAAGATATATAGGAACTTTGGGGCACAATTTACATGAAATCGGACGAAACTATATATGGGTGCTATATCTAAATCTGGACCGATTTTCACGAAACTTGGCAGACATCATTCTAGACCTAAATGATTAGGCTGTACCAAATTTCGTGCAAATCGAAAGATATATAGGGACCGTTTACATTAAATCGGTTAAATATATATATGGGAGCTATATCTTAATCTGAACCGATTTTTCCCAATTTCAATAGGGTTCGTCCTTGGGCCGAATAAGTGACCTATGCCAAATTTCATCCAATTCGGATCATAAATGCGACCTGTACTTTGTTTACAATTTAACATGGACAGACAGACAGACGGACGGACGGACGGACATGCATAAATCGACTTAGAAAGTGATTCTATGCATATTCTCAAAAGGAACCATGTGTCTATCTCGTTTCCTTTTGCCTGTTACAAACATATGCACAAAGACATAATACCCTGTACCACAGTGTGGTGAAGGGTATAAAAATCCACGCCTTAGGACAGCCTTGATAAAATATTCTTTAAAAAATCCACGCCTAAGGACAGCCTTGAACAAATAATCTTTAAAAAATCCACGCCTTAGGACAGCTTTGAACAAATATTCTTTAAAAAATCCACGCCTTACGACAGCCTTGAAAAACTATCCTTTAAAAAAATCCACGCCTTAGGACAGCCTTGAAAAACTATTCTTTAAAAAATCCACGCCTTAGGACAGCCTTGACAAAATATTCTATAAAAAATCCCCGCCATGTTTTAGTCCTTGAAAAAAAAAAATATTCTTTGAAAATGGTGTATTTTGCTTTGAAGGAAAAAGGTTTTGGGTTCTCCCCCTTTAAGAGATACATAGGTATGATAGCTGCCCTGTAGAGTGGCTTACAATTAAGATGACTATCCAACCACAAATGTAACAATTTGTTGGATACCAGCAGCAATTCAACTCCTCAATCACCTCCGCTCTCCCCCAAAAAACACCCCCAATCGATGTCACAGGACACGAGTAGTCTATTTAAGAAGTATTTTATTAAGTGTCCTCCGTCATGGTATTGGCGGATCTTTATGTCTTCTCATGCTGTTGTTGGCCTATTAATGCTAATCTTTAATTTAGAAACAATTGTATGTGTGTGTGTGTGCGTATGGAACGGATGAGTAAATGTGCCACACTATGTATATGTGTGCGTGTGTTCGTACCACCAACACAATGACAAAATAAATGATACCATGAAAATCTCTTTTCATAGCCATAAATTACCACCAAAAGGGGAGAGACAAAACCCGGGAATTTATGTCCCATTTGGAATATCCTTTTGTTGGGTGCTGCTGTTGTCTCTCGGGGGAACATTCAAACGGCCATTGAACTCCAAAAAATAGTCAAGAATAAGTGCTTGTTTGTTACTCTATTTCATTATCATTAGAAATTGTTATTCATTTCGTTCGGGTTTTTATTTCTTAATTCAAATGGATGGGGTTCTGGCCAAATGGAATCGGAGACATTACAAAACAATTTGTTTTGTTTAGTTGGAATTAAAACATACCTGCACACACTTTCACTCTGTGTTTTGGTATATGGCGGCGTGACATGCCATTTTGTAAGTGGTCTCATTGGATTTTATGGATTTCGTTTTTATTTTATTGGCGGAAAATATTAATAATATTAAGGGAACAAATATGCAGGGTGTAAATGTTATAGGAGTGGATAATTAAAAGAATACTTTTTCAAGGACCAAAACAAGGCATGGATTTTTGAAGGCCAAACAAGGCGTGGATTTGTAAAGAATACTTTTTCAAGGACCAAAACAAGGCGTGGATTTGTAAAGAATACTTTTTCAAGGACGAAAACAAGGCGTGGATTTGTAAAAAATACTTTTTCAAGGACCAAAACAAGGCGTGGATCTTTAAAGAATACTTTTTCGAGCACCAAAACAAGGCATGGATTTTTAAAGAATACTTTTTCGAGGACCAAAACAAGGCATGGATTTTTAAAGAATACTTTTTCGAGGACCAAAACAAGGCATGGATTTTTAAAGAATACTTTTTCGAGGACCAAAACAAGGCATGGATTTTTAAAGAATACGTTACAAGACTTTTTGGTGGATACATTTAAGGACATGTTTTTTTTATAAAGAAATTTTTATATATTTAAATTTTTGGGTTTTTATTACTTTGAGTACTATTATAAATATTCCTAATTATAATAAATATGCATTTTTAATATATAAAGAATTATTTGTAGCTATATATTACTTGTTTAGAATAATTAATTAGATAAATAAAAGTGTATTTACTATATTAAATTACTAAATTATATGTACGCTTAATAATCTCTGAACTAAAAAAAGAATTTAAAAAAACAAGCTATACATTTCAACACATATAATAAAAAACGAAATAAAAAAACAAGACATAAACAGAGAAATATTGCTTGGAATTTATCAAATGATATTTAGTCCCGATTTACATTAGACAAATTTTAATTGCCTCAATTCTGTCGTTGGAGGAGAGACAGTTGAGAGGAAATATCAACCACTCACCTGTCTCGCCCACAACCCGATAACAGCTGCAAGTGAAATTGCCTTATGAAATGTTGGTATTAATTTTTTTCTTTCTTGTATTCAAAAATTCCTACATTAAATCCTCCCCATCATCTCATCTATATTTATGACTACATCTACTGTGCAATAATAGGCGTTTGGCTCCATTCTCGATTTGATTTGTGTGTGTGTTTTTGTTACTATTTTTTGCGAATTGACTTTAAATGTTGTTGTAATTGTTCACAGCGTTGACATTCGATTGTTAGTTGTTTGACAGCGGCAGCATATTGACGTTGCAGCTCCAGCAGCCCCTGCAACTCTTCATTTAATGCATCACGACGTTTTTTCTCATCGAGATATTTTAATTTCACCTTTTGTTCCGTTTGTCGTACTCCCTGCACAATTTGTTCGAATTTCTGGATAAATTCTTCGCGGCCATGCTGGGTGGACATGCCTTCATTGTAGGCTTCACAAATTGAATTCAGCAGTGACAGTTCCTTTTCCATATAACGTTTCTGGTCATTTAGGGTATTGAAGAGAGTATAATATTGTTTGGTTTCTAAATACTTGGAACTCACTGGAAGGAAAAAAGGAAGATGAAAGGAAAATATTTTAGGCAGACATTGTAGACCATATATGTAGGTGACTTACTTTCATTGTACAACTCATGAAAACGTCGCTGATATTGTGCCAATTCTGTGCGATCTGGTGTATTATCCAATTGCTGTTGTATTGCCAAAATACCCCGATTACGTTTAGCCAGCTGTAATTTTAATAATTGTATACGTTCTTTTTCTTTGGCCACCGCCTGTTCTCGTTCATGGGGATCCTGGGCATTGAAGGCTTCCAATTCCCTTTAGTTTTTTTTTTAGTAAAATATTTATTTATTTAAATTATTTTATAAAATTTAAATATACATACTCAATTTGTTCTTGCAGGGCAGCCAGATCTTTTCGACAGTGTTCCTTAAACTCTGATTCTTCCTTTTTCAGCTCGTCGTGTTGTTTCAGAAGACTTTGGACTTTTTCTAATAACCTGCAAAATTTAGATACGAAATATGTGGATTTTTAAAGAATATTTTTTCAAGGCTTGGTTTTTTAAAGAATATTTTTTCAAGGCGTGGATTTTTAAAGAATATTTTTTTAAGTCGTGGATTTTTAAAGAATATTTTTTCAAGGCGTGGATTTTTAAAGAATATTTTTTCAAGGCGTGGATTTTTAAAGAATATTTTTTCAAGGCTTGGATTTTTAAAGAATATTTTTTTAAGGCGTGGATTTTCAAAAAATATTTTTTCAAGGCTCTGTGCAAGGCGTGGATTTTTAAAGAATATTTTTTCAAGGCTCTGTGCAAAGCGTGGATTTTTAAAGAATATTTTTCAAGGCTCTGTGCAAGGCGTGGATTTTTAAAGAATATTTTTTCAAGGCTCTGTGCAAGGCGTGGATTTTTAAAGAATATTTTTTCAAGGCTCTGTGCAAGGCGTGGATTTTTAAAGAATATTTTTTCAAGGCTCTGTGCAAGGCGTGGATTTTTAAAGAATATTTTTTCAAGGCTCTGTGCAAGGCGTGGATTTTTAAAGAATATTTTTTCAAGGCTCTGTGCAAGGCGTGGATTTTTAAAGAATATTTTTTCAAGGCTCTGTGCAAGGCGTGGATTTTTAAAGAATATTTTTTCAAGGCTCTGTGCAAGGCGTGGATTTTTAAAGAATATTTTTTCAAGGCTCTGTGCAAGGCGTGGATTTTTAAAGAATATTTTTTCAAGGCTCTGTGCAAGGCGTGGATTTTTAAAGAATATTTTTTCAAGGCTCTGTGCAAGGCGTGGATTTTTAAAGAATATTTTTTCAAGGCTCTGTGCAAGGCGTGGATTTTTAAAGAATATTTTTTCAAGGCTCTGTGCAAGGCGTGGATTTTTAAAGAATATTTTTTCAAGTCTCTGTGCAAGGCGTGGATTTTTAAAGAATATTTTTTCAAGGCTCTGTGCAAGGCGTGGATTTTTAAAGAATATTTTTTCAAGGCTCTGTGCAAGGCGTGGATTTTTAAAGAATATTTTTTCAAGGCTCTGTGCAAGGCGTGGATTTTTAAAGAATATTTTTTCAAGGCTCTGTGCAAGGCGTGGAT